TATATATATATATATATATATATATATATATATATATATATATATATGTGTGTGTGTGTGTGTGTGTGTGTGTGTGTGTGTGTATACATACATATATGCACACAGACACACACAGTGGGAACTGGGACAAGAACTGGGAGGCTGGACTCGCAGTGTATGAGAGTTAATTCAACATTCTTCTCATGCTTCAGCTTTTATTGTCCTCCCTGATTCTTTTTTTTTCTTGTCTTCAGGGTGCTTGGGTCCCTCCAGAATTTCGAAGCGTTCTCAGAAGCTTTTCAGTGCCCAAAAGGAAGCCCGATGAACCCTGAGCAGAAGTGTCGTGTTTGGTAGACTACTGTTCATTTTTTTAACACGGGCAACTCAGATCAGAAGTCAAACTTTTTTTAACCAGGACGTGACATCTTTTTGACAGATTAGTCCAATCCATTTGGTGCAGAGTGATAGCACAAGCCTTCACGTATACAGAGATGTGCATGGAAATTGGAGGACATCCTTGAATGTCCTCTTTAAGTTTTGTGTGTTGTCATGAGTTCTTCTTTGGTGTGTCCCACAACAAACAGGTGGGAACATGAATGAAACGGCTGCATGGAAGAAATGAAAACCTTGTGGGAATGTTAAATCTGGCTTTAAATGTGTTTCCAGCCTTCGATTCACCAAGTTTTAAAAAAACCTCTTTCACAAGTCTTTCTGATTTATCTGCTCGCATTTGGCAGGAGCTGTTCTGCCGGGTTTGATATATATTTAAGACACTAAACCACTTCAGAAGGAAAACTAGAGAAATTGAACTCTTAAGAATAATAAATGAAAGCTGTTTCGCCTGAATTAGTCACACTCTGAGGGTTCGATTACTGCTACAGTACGTAAAAATAAATTACCTTAAGACTTCAAGACTGTTAAATCTTTTGCAGCGTTCAGCTGAAATTGACATTCATAGAGAGCCGTGTCTTGAAATATTCAACATTTACAGAGTTATGTCATGCGTTTCCCCCCCATTTCTTTACTTTTTGTTTTTGCAAGCGACTATAACAACACTAGTACTGCAGGAGTCTGAGTGATCATAATAATTCACTTGTTTTAGAGGGGTGGTGATCCGCAAATCTTTAGCTCGTGCAAAAATCCAGCAATTGCTTGAAGCAAAAATGTGTTTTTGCCAACTGAACTGATCATTTCTCCAAGATTTCACTTCAGATCATTGTGTTTTCGAAAGCTGCCATCTTTGTCATCCAAAGTAAACTAATTCAAAGTGGGCAGAGTAATGAAAATTACATCACATGGTCAGTTACATATACTTTCTTATGTCTGTAAAGGTTTAAAGTTTATTTTCTAGAAGAACTCATCTTTCTTTTCCTATACGAGCTCTTGTGGGGTGGAAACGCCAGTCTCTGCCAATTACATGCAACAAAGGCAAAGAGAACGCCACTCAAAGAGGCAAGAGATGAAGTGTTTTCCTTCTGATCCTGCCTTGATCAGTGTTCTGCGAGATGAAAGGATGAGCGCCGTAATCAATCCACGAGCCCGGGGGTAGAACCACTAAAGATTGTTGCCGGTAACGAGGCGGCCGGGGCCAGAACTGTTATTTTTGACTTATTCACAGGTAACGACAGGAGAATCAAAGCAGAGGACGCATCAGAAGAGATGCTGGCTGAACAGAGTGGCAGGCAAACACAGACAGCTGATTTGAATATTTACTGTCGCTTGTTAAATCTAGGATGCCTTGGTAAACTGAACTCGACTGTTAGGCCTCAACAGAGGCTGCTTAACTGAATGTGCATATAATCTGTCTTTTAGTCTTCAGCTGTTGACAAATACTGTTGTGAAATGCATGATGGGAGAGGTCCCACCAATGAGAATTTGGAAGCTGATATTGTGCTGCAGTCTTAAAAAATGTTTGACATTTGGGAAATTAACTCTTAAAAGACATCATGTTCGGTGAAGCTGTTAACTCTGGAGGGTTGCTCATACTTTACGTTCAGTAACAATCTGACGTTCTTTGCAAATTTAAAGAAATGTAACGAAACGCTCTGCTGTGGTTTAATTTCGCCACAACTCCCACAGGCAGAGTAGTTATTGGTGGTAGACGGCCACTGTGCAATCCAGATTTTTATGAATCTACAAGTGCTGATCATAAAATTAGAGTATCGTGAAAAAAGTTGATTTATTTCAGTAATTCCATTCAAAATGTGAAACTTGTATATTATATTCATTCATTATACACAATGATATATTTCAAATGTTTATTTCTTTTAATGTTGATGATTATAACTGGCAACTAATGAAAGACACAAATTCAGTATCTCAGAAAATTAGAATATTACTTAAGACCAATAAAAAAAGGATTTTTAGAAATGTTGGCCAACTGAAAATGAAATGTGTGATTGAACATGAAAAGTATGAGCATGTACAGCACTCAATACTTAGTTGATTTTCAAAGGAAATGCAAAATTTACTTTCATCAGAGAAGAAGACGCTTCTGACACTGTCTCTTGTTCAAGAGTGGCTTGACACAAGGAATGCGACGTCTGAAACCCATGTCTTGCATACGTCTGTGTGTGGTGGTTCTTGAAGTATTGACTCCAGCTGCAGTCCACGCTTTGTGAATCTCCCACACATTTTGGAATAGGTTTTGTTTCACAATCCTCTCCAGGGTGCGGTTATCCCTATTGCTTGTACACTTTTTTTCTACCACATCGTTTCCTTCCCTTCGCCTCTTTATTAATGTGCTTGGACACAGAGCTCTGTGAACAGCCAGCCTCTTTAGCAATGACCTTTTGTGTCTTGACGTCCTTGTGCAAGGTGTCTCTGGTCGTCTTTTGGACAACTGTCAAGTCAGCAGTCTTCCCCATGATTGTGTAGACTACAGAACTACACTGAGAGACCATTTAAAGACCTTTGCAAGTGGTTTGAGTTAATTAGCTGATTAGACTGTGGCACCAGGTCTCTTCAATATTGAACCTTTTCACAATGTTCTAATTTTCTGAGATACTGAATTTGGGGTTTTCATTAGTTGTCAGTTATAATCATCAACATTAAAAGAAATAAACATTTGAAATGTATCAGTCTGTGTGTAATGCATGAATATAATATACAAGTTTCACTTTCTGAATAGAATTACTGAAATAAATCAACTTTTTCATGCTATTCTAATTTTATGACCTGCACCTGTATTTGTTTGTGGAAAATGTTACAGTATAGTTTAGTTATGGATCCCAACTGCTTCATATTCAGGGTTTTGGTACAGATATGAAAATGTGCTGCAGGGTTTATGTCCTGCCACATAATGTTCATTCACTCAGTCAGTTCAAACAAATCCATCTGTCACGTAAAGTTGAGTCAAACTTTAGAAAAGATGAAAGTCAGGCATGATTATGGATTTAAATGCATCATGTTGGAAGGTGGCTGTAGACCACAGAAGACACAAAACAGGGAAGAAGAGGAAAAACGTCAACTAGATTTACTAAATTCAAGATAAAAATAGTGAGACTCAATGATTTTTCTAACTGTGCATCTGATAATAAATATCCTTTCACGTTTCTAATATTGAATATTTTCTTGAAGTCAAAACTTCAGTTTGTAAAACTGCAACAAAAAAAAAAACATTTCAGTCTTTTTACTTAAATCTTTTTTCCCCCCAGTTGTGAGAAATTTTGTAATGCAGCTCTGAAAAAGGTGTAACTTAACCAATGAAATAAACATTTTAGCTCATGCTGCAAGTCACCCAATCAAAATTAGGCCCAAAATAAAAGTGAGATGTTCTTTATGTGGCTATTTAAGAAAAAACAACAACAATCTGATGACCAAAAAAACAACCAAAAAAAAACAAGTCATAGTTGTACATTTGTCAAACTGTTATCCGTCACATCTGAGCAACAACATGAACACCAACGTACAGCTCAGACCTAATTAAATTGTTGAACCGAACAGAAATGTGAATCCCAAAGTATGAAGTATCCGGGCAGACTTCTTGTTGTTTCCCCTGCCTTTTGCTGATTATTTTTCCATTATCTAAGGCACCAGATGGTTTGTTAAACCATCTGACTTAAACTATAAAACGACATAGATCACAATCGCAACAGTCCCCTTGTTCAAAACATTCAGTGACTTGTAGGTCAATCACTTGCTTCCTTTAGTGTTGGAACAACTTAAATTATATATATATATATATATATATATATATATATATATATATATATATATATATAAAATTTAAAGTGATTAGTTGAAATTGTTCTATAAAAATGCATCATCCCTCAGAGCAAAACTGAAAAGCTGAAAAAAGCAATTACTGTATTTTTCACTGTATAAGTTGCACCTTTTTGCATAAATTTGCAAGTCCTGCGTTTTATACACCGAAGTGACTAGAATATATTTTTCCCCATATTTATAACAAATTTTTGTCTGAGATCTGATGATTTCATTCATTCTGACATGGAAAATATTGAACACTTCCATTTTCAGCCACTAGAGGGTGCTCGAGTAATATGGCAAGCCAAGTGTCTCATTAATAGGTAAAAGTGGCTATTAATGAGACACTTGGCTTGCCATACTAAGTCACCTTCATCTCGCTCCGGAATCCTGGAGCAAACGTCAAATCAGCTGCATTTTGCCGCGCCGCCCAGGTGAACTGCAGCTGATTTGACCATTAAAGGTGCATTTATTGAGTAAAAGTTAAACTGAGACACACCTTTGCTATAATTTCGAACAAACAAATAATAAAAACAAATAATTGTTTTTAAGTGTTAATCTTGTTAAATTATTGTTAAAGTTCTCCCGTGCACACTCCCGCTGCCATCAGCCATTTGGCAGCCAATCGATTTTTGGCACAACACCGGCCCGCATTTCCAGGTCGTCAGCGGTGACGCATAATAGATGCGATTTATACGGCAAAGCAATTTGTTTTATTTCCACTTTATTAGACATATTTGGACTGATGCAACTTGTACAGCGGTGCGACGTGTACGGCAGCAAGTACAGTAATGTGGCTGAATAGACAGCCGACAGCTTGTAGCATTTGACGATAAACAGCTATGGAGTTACTGTATGTAAACAGAATGTTACTAAAAAAAACAGGAAAGAAGTATAAGACCTGAAATGAGAGGAGGGTTGTTATTTGAAACAGTGAACAAGCCTTCAAGAGTTGATTCTTCTGAAGTCTGGTTAAAAAAGATGCTCTAAGAAGTCGTTTATTTGCAACATTAAAAGTTGGTGAACAGCTTCTTTTGAGGAAAAGACGGCACCGATTGCTGCTGAACAAGTTAGTAAGGCTCTTCTTTAACTTGGCAGCTCTGTAAAGTAACGGCATCCTTCAGATTAACTCTTTCTCTGGAAGCAAACACTAGCATTTCCCCAAGATGTCGGTTTATTTGTACAAAAACGCACACGTGTGACTGACGCAGTCCAGCTGGAGGCGAAACTATGACTCAACATCTTGTGTTTTTAAAGTTAGCTCGACCCCTGCACATTTTTCTGTCAACCATTTACTGAACACAAAGTTTATACAAATGGAATGTGTAACTGTTGGCTGTGCAGAAAACCTGGTGAAAAATAATTGCTCTTAGATTTCGCTTCACATTTACTTAAATAGTGAAACTGTGTCGTTTATGAAGCTAACTACCAAGTACAATTTTATTTTTTTTTTTGCTATTTAATTCTATGAACATGTTTCAGCTGTACACACATCAGAGTTTATTTATTTAAAGAAATTATTTATCAAGTAAAACAATTGCTTTGCAAGAATTCAGATGTTTCTATGAATGTTCCTGCTGCTATGTAATTATCTAGACTGCTATTTTTGTGACTCAGATCTGTAATTACTGCTATTAAAAGTGACTGTCTCAAACGGTGATCTCAAGACTCTGCTTGAAAAGTGTCATCTTTATTTTATACAATCAAATAAAACATAAAATATGTTCAGAAGGATGCTAAAAGACTGTGTGATTGTATTTTAATTTGACCATTATCTTTAATGCTTGTAATTTGATTTAGTTGAGGCGCTGGAATCATTTCATCGGTTTAAAATATGTCATTTGAGTTTTACAAATAATCATTCTGAGTAAAATGTGTTCAGAAAAAAACATTTTATTAATTAGACAAGGGCTTCATGGATTATATAGCACATGTTTTAATTTTCAAGATAGAAAGTGGGTTATTTAGGTGAAGGAACAGGCATAAGTGTTTTTAATTTATTGCTATTACAATTATTCACAAATAAAGCAAATAAAAAATAAAAACCTTAATCTAAAATCCGTCTCAGACATATGCAAAAACAAGCATGAGCTTTATAACCCACCTTTAACATGTATAACACAAAAAAAAAAACCATGATCAAGACGTTTAATTACTTTTAAATTATATTTAAAATAACCATTCATTATTTTCAACAGCAAAAACAGCGTTGGATTTGCCCTGTACATAAAACAGCAGCATAAACGCTGAGCTTTTGTTAAAAGAATTATTGTTTTTTAAATTGACTATAAATCACAGCAAACAATGGCATTTGTGATATTAGAACCTTACTAATAATTTATTATTATTATTTGAACATTTTAATTTCCACCTCTTTAATCTGGCCTTTTTATCCTCAGGCGCAGTTTAGACCAAACCGAAAGCTTCTTCATCAACGAGTACAAACGTCATCATTGCACTGCAAGAGATGCACAAAAAGTAAAATTAATAAATAAAATTTAAAAAGCAGCTTATTTACAGGATAACTGGTGAAAGCAAGACGTTTGTTATTTACTATCTGAGACACAAGGAGCCAATAAGGGAGTAAACAGCATCTTTGAATAGGGTCTTTATTCCTGAAAAGTAACGTGGACTTTCAGAGTATATAGTGTCATTCTGTAAAATAAGAGCTTCAGTTTTGTCTGAGCTTCAGCTTGTGATCTGCACTTTTCTCTGACGTATTAAGATCCGTCAGAGAAAACAAGGTCCATTCTGTTTGCGGGCGTCAGACAGACAGGTCATGGGGTCGTGTTGCAGCACAACTGACACGATGGCTCTGAGGGGTCTGTTTTTATAAAAGTGCAAATGGGACAGAGAACTGACTTCACATGCAACTTCGATTTAATTCAATTCAGTTTATTTCTGTAGCGCCAAGTCACAACAGAAGTCATCTCAGGGCACTGAATAGAAACAACACCATTTATCTGAGGAGCAGACTGCTCTGAGTTTAACTTCATCACAGACTCTCATCTTGAGCAAGCATGAAGGCGACAGTGGAAAAGAAAAACGCCCTCATGAGGAAGAAACATGTAGCAGAACCAGGCTCAGGACAAGCGGCCATCGGCTACATCTGCTCCCTAAACAGGTCTCTCTTGAAGATGAGTTCTCGTGGCTCAATGAGGCTACCTGTATAAATAAAAGGGTAAATGAAAAATTTAATATAAGATGGAGCTAGGTTTTTGAGGGCTTTGTAGGTTAGAAGTAATATTTTGAATTCAATTCTGAATTTGACTGATTATCATTTCAGGTCTCATTTAATGGTGCAACAGACACTGACATCACAGAACCCACGTCATTAAGGTGTCTCTCTTGAGTCTGTGTTTTTCTGTGAATATACAGGTATACAAAACTCAATTTTAAAGCTGACTTTTTACTTTTTTTTTATTTTTTTATTGTTTTTACATTTTTTATGTTCCCCATTTACTGTAATTTTCGTACTATAAAGGCGCACCATAAGGCGCAATATCAATGAACGGGTCTGTTTTCATACATAAGTACATTAAGTGAAACACAAAATGGTCAGATAAGTCAAACTTATTCAACTCATTCACAATAACCACATAAAAGTGGTTCGAGGTCAGTAAGTACAACCAGAATTCATACATAAGGCGCACCTGATTATAAGGCTCACTGTCGATTTTTGAGAAAATTAAAGGATTTTAAGTGCACCTTACAGTCTGAAAAATATGGGAGGTTTTATGACTAATAGTCATGTTTTGCCTGTATCAAGACTAGCAAGTGTTTCTGTTTTCATAAAACCTTTATTTATATATATAAATCTCACAGAGCTCCAGCTTACCCCTTTAAAATATGACATTTTGAGATCATTCTTGCCCTTGCTCTTTAGTAAGTAAGCAGATGGGATCTGGATAAGTCCACGATGCAATGTCAGTTTTACATTTTACAATTATTTACATACATTTTTAAGGTAACTTGCAAGAGTAAACAGCAGCGGCAGAGAGCTACAATGCACAAAACATCTCTGTTGCATTAACCGTAATGCAGAATAGTTCATTTAGGATGGCAGCAATCCACTTTGGTCTCGGCCGCAATCGGACTAGCCGTCAGTTCATTTCCCAAGTAAATTTGATTTGTTACTTGGTCCAAAAAATGTGATTAATTTGCTTAACTAAATAATCTCAGATAGTCTGGTTTCTTCCAGAGCAATAAAAAAAAATGCATGTAGACCTGAGACAAATGACCAGGACAATGTGTTGTTACCAAAACCTGGCTCTCAGGTGTGATTTAACACCGAAATAAACATTAATAGGAATAATTAAAAGATTATTCTAAAAAATAGTACATCTTTCATGATATCTGCATTGATTATCTGTATAGTGTGCTGTCAAAGTTACATAATAGTCTGTGTGAGAAGAAGCTATAGTTCAGAAATGTTGTTTGGGGACACACAGATGTTTTTCTGCTGTACTCTTAGGGATAAATGTGTACAATAACTTCTATTGTCTTCAAACACAGAGTTTATCTGTCAAATTTAAAAGGTTTCCAGAGCCTTTGTTTCAGATGTTGACAGACCATGAAGATAGCTAATAGGTGTGAAATTGTCTGAAGAGACTACTCTGCTGCATGTGTGTCTGCTGACGTCAATCAAAATCAGTTTGAGGGAAAAACTGTCAACTTTAGTGCTGCTTTCTTTAACACAAACACAGAATAACACGTGATCTCCATTCTGTTAACTGTGCTGCTTAAAGTAATTCAGTGCAAAGTAATGTGAGGAGAGAGGTCTTACCACCGGTTTCTGTCCCGCTGTCACTGAGGCCGAGACGCCGAGAGCCTTGGAAATGTCCTCTAGAGGTAAAAAATCTCCTGGGGAGTCTTGGATAAAGTGTAGCAACACCTTTTCTCCACCTTTATGGAAGAAAAAAAAAAGAGACAACCTTTCAGGTTGATTTGAGAAAGCAACACGTCAAGGAAGAAAAAAATAAGTCAAGCTGCAACTCGGAATTATTTTAAACTACATTTTATTTATTGTTGTTGAGATTTGCAGCTTAGCACCAGCAGGTATTAACGGAAAATATATATATACAAATAAGGAAAATGGCACATTAAGTAGGTCAGATATGCATAATACAAGATGGGTTTTTTTGTGCAAAATATTACCGTTACAGGAATAAACTATTTAAAGGTGTGAAGACCCCAAGTAAGAAGGTGGGTTACTGGTGAGTGAAACGTCTGCAAAAATCACTTTTAATGAAGGAACAACTGAAAATAGAGGAGAGCCACCAGACAGAATGACCTGTAATCTACCTCCTCCTCCCAAAATATCAGAAAATATAGTTACAGCACGTTAACTCAATAAGTCTGAGTGGTGAGATTTAACAGTGAGCAGTTGTGATCACAATTCAACAATATGATGCAACACTGCCCTCTAGAGGACACGCAGGCAAATTGCGCACGCACTTTTTCTACGTTTAAACAACTGGGGACACATTTTCTGCATCAATGCACAACTTTAATTAAAATATTTGAAAAATAATAATAATTGTGTTTGATTTTTTTTAAAACTATATCTGCAATTGTAGGTCACATTAATGAAAGTGGACCTCACTAAAGAGTCCCCTTGTGATTGTACCTTTTGCCACGATGAGCAACCCTCCACACTGGAGCAGATCTCCAGAGAAGTTTCCGTGAATTCCTGCAGCGCTCGCCTGAAAGCAGCAGAGACGACAACCAGTTAGAGACAATGAGTGTGTCAATACATATGCTCTTTTATACAAAAAAGCATGTCACATAGGCAAAACAGGCTGAAACTGATTTATTTGTCTGCAATGAACGTTTCTACCTGAGAAGCTATATCTCGTACTTTCTTCCCCAGTGCAGCAGGAATCACACTTAATGCTGTGTACCTGAAATAAAATAAAATCTGCTTTTTATTTTTATTTGAGACCACCAAAAATCAAGAAATCTTTTGGAAACTCATTCCAGTCGGCAAATACCCGTTAAGAGTTTACAACCAATGTTTAAACTATTTTAAAAGGCTGAACAAGAATACAAACTAAAAAACAGAGATGTAAACTGAACCAAGTCATTTTCTAGAGCTGATTAATTAAACAACTGTTGAAGCTCTAAACGAAATAAAACAAACTGATATTCTCGAATGCAACTCAAACTGCTTCTTTAAACCAGCTTCTTTAGCGAGTAATGTAAACTTAGATTCACCTTTTGAAACCCAAATCCTTGTAACACTTCTTTTGTTCATCCACATAAATAGCTGTAAAAAGAAACAGAAATTTACACAACAGGAGTGGCTGGAGGAACTATGGATTCAATAAGCATGTTTGAATCCTTCTGGTTAATCAATAAGCTTTTGTTACAAAACAGCCCGTCAAGGTTCACAATAAGAGCTGCAGGTGAAGGTGGAAGTTGTAAAATATATTGATTTTTGTTGTTTTTCTGAAATGAGGTGTGAAAATTGGAGGTAAATTTGAACTTTGGTCATATTTAGGATGCATCAATTCAATAGCATGGAAGAAAATGTATTTAGTGTAACCAACAAAATTGCAAAAAATTATTTAGGCATTATTTTATACAGCTGGATAGATAATGCTTTTTAAAATGTATGAAAAAAACAAACAGGAAACAGAAATATGGAGTCTTTTTGGAGCAAATAAGCTTTAGCAGACCTGAAATTATTCAAGACAGAAGAGGCACTGTCCAATCTGCCCTGGTGATTTAAAAGTTTCATGACAATATTTATTATACTTAACCATCACATTTGCATTAGGTGAAATAAAGGTGCTTACATCCTTTTAAAAAACCTCCTTCTTTAAACTCCTGCAGCCCAACCTCCTCTGGTCCAACTCCCACCAGCGAGACCCCTTTGGCCCTGAGGTCGGGCTCCAGTTTGCTGATCTCTGATGCCATCCATCGACACACCTGACAGCCAAACCTGCGCAGGAAGAACACCACCACCGGCTGATCCTGCCACAGAGACTGGAGCTCCACATTCTGGAAGACAGTGAGCACAAATTATTAATGATTATATTTAAAAAAAAAATTTAAATCTCACAACGAATGAGTGATACACAAGGAATGGGTGATGCATGAGCTTTAAACAAATTTGTGTAACATCATGAGCCATAAATTCCAACTGTGACCTGATTTATGGCCATGTGGGACTTATCAGGTTACCACAACAGATAATTTAGTCAGAAGTTTGGTTTGTACTGGGAAATAACAGCAGGTTTAATCATAACACGAGCCTTTACAGCACGACTGTCTAACAATAGTGCGTTATCACTAAACAAGTCATTTAAATAATAAAAGCTGAAACAAATACATTCGACGTGAACAAATCCCTTAGTTTCAGATGAACCTGAACGCCACCTTACCTCTCCGCCTTCAGTGCTCTTCAGCAAATTCAATCCAACCTTAGCCAGGTCCACTTTAGCCATTCTTCTTCTTCTTCTTCTTCTTGATGAGTTTAATGGCGGTTGGCAAAAAACTGTAGGTGTGCATTACCGCCACCACTGGTATGGAGTGTAGTTCATCATGGGCTAATTCTATGTGTATGTGTTAGTAAACTATATATATCTCAAATTCTATTAATCAACTTTGTTTTCTTAAAATATCTAATTATAATTTGTATATGTTTGCTCTCCAAGTTGTGTTGTAGTGCATCTATTATATTAAGTTTTTCTTTTATCTTTTCAAACTGTCTCTTCATAAACCTTCGTTCTGCTGCATATTTCTGACATTCCAGTATCACATGTTGAATAGTTTCATCTTGTCCACAGTGCTCACATTTTCCTGTATTGTGTTTCTTTATTTGAAATAATGAATAATTCAGTCCCGTATGTCCAAATCTCAATCTTGTTATTAATCTTTCTTCCTTTCTGCTCCTTCTTCCAGTTCTTGTTTCTCCTACAGTCTTTTTGATCCTATAAAACCATCTTCCTTTTTTTTCTTCATCCCATCTTTTCTGCCATTCTTTCTTCAGTTTTTGTTTGATGATACTTTTTACCTCTGATTTGCTTATATTTACTGTAAAGTCAATGTTATTCTGAGTTGCCTTCTTTGCCATCTTATCTGCCATCTCGTTTCCTTCAATCCCAATGTGCGCTGGTACCCATAAAAATGTCACTGTTAAACCCATCCTTTGTGTTCTGAATAATGTGTGGTATATTTCTAATAAAATGTCTGGCCTACTGTCTGAATGATTGTGCTTTAAACTGAGTAATGTGGAACTTGAATCTGAACAGATTATTGTTTTTAATGGTTTTACTTCCTCCACCCACTGCACTGCTAATAACACTGCTAACATCTCTCCTGCATATACGGATAAGTCGTTGGTGATTCGTTTTCCTATTTTTATTTGAAATTCCGGTACTATGAAAGCTATTCCTATTTTTTCATTTGTTTTTGATGCATCTGTATATATTTGAATGTACTGGTAATAATTGTTTATATAAGTCTGTACTGTGTGTGAATCTATGATGTATGTCCTGTCCTTTTTCCTTTCCATTAGTGTCATGTCGACTGTTGCTGTTGGTAATATCCAGGGTGGTAAAACTGATAGTGGTAAATGTGGACTTATTTCTAAATTATGTATTTGAACTTCTTCTGTTTTCTTTCTTATGATCCATCCAAAACTTCTTGTTTGTTTTTTCTCTTTCTCCCAGCATGGGATTAGTGTATCGAGTGTTGGATGATCCGGGTTATTGCTTTGTAAGTTTATCCAGTAATTTATTGCTAGTTGTGTTCTTCTTAGATCTAAAGGCATCTCTCCCATTTCTACTTCTAGTGCTGTTGTTGGTGTAGTTTTGAATGCTCCTGTGCAGATTCTTAATGCCTGATGTTGTATTGTATCTAATTTTTCCAGATGAGTTTTTGCTGCTGATCCATAAATGATGCTTCCATAATCAATGTTTGATCTGATTAATCCGGTGTATATTTGTTTTAAAGCTCCTCTATCTGCTCCCCAGTCACTGCCAGCCAAACATCTCATAATGTTTAATATTTTTTTACATTTATCGATAATTTTCTGTATATGTATCTTCCATATTATTTTTTCATCAAACCATACTCCTAAAAACTTTACACTTTTTACTTGTTCTAATTCTTGATTATATAATTTTAATTTTATTTCCTCTCTTATTCTTTTCTGTGTAAACACCATAACTTTTGTTTTTTCTATTGAGAACTTAAATCCCCATTGAAATGCCCATTTTTCTATTCTAATTATCATATCTTGTATTTTTTTAATAACAAATTCTGTATTTCTACCTCTTTTCCATATGGCTCCATCGTCCGCAAATAATGAACATCCCATTTCTTTCTCAATGTCTGTAAATATATCATTTATCATTATGGAAAACAATAACGGACTTAATATGCTTCCTTGTGGCGTCCCATTTTCTACTGTAAATTTTCTTGATAGTTCTTGCCCAATTCTCACTTCTATTGTTCTGTCTGATAAAAAGTTTTGAACCCAGTTAAACATATTTCCATTGATCCCCATTTGACATAATTTAATTAATAATCCTTCTACCCACATCATATCATATGCCTTCTCTAGATCAAAAAATACAGCGACTACACTTTCTTTGTTGATTTGTGCTTTTCTGACTTCATGCTCTAAGCAAATTGTTGGGTCATTAGTATTCCTCCCCTTTCTAAACCCACTCTGATATTTAGATATATACCCTTTGATATTTAAATAATAAGTTAATCTATTATTAATCATTTTTTCCATTATTTTACACATATTTGACGTTAAAGCAATGGGTCTATAATTTTCTGGGTTTGTATTGTCTTTTCTTGGTTTGGTTATTGGAACTATGATCGCCTCCTTCCAGCTCTCTGGCAGCTCCCCTTCCTCCCAGATTTTATTGTAAAATTCTAATATTGTATCTTTTGATGTTTCACTGAGATGTTCTATCATTGTATACCAAATGTTATCTTTACCAGGTGCTGTATTCTTTGTTTTCCTTAGTGCATAGTTCAGTTCTGTTTTAGTAAACGGTTCATTCAATAAATTATTTGTTTCTTCAGTATTTTGTTGTAAATCTTTGTATTTTAGTTTTGTGGCTTCCTGACCTTTCCTTCCTTCTTCACTCATGTTACTAGAACTATGAATTTTACTAAATGTTTCTGCTAATATTTCAGCTTTCTCGTCATCTTTTGTAATAGTTTTGTTACTTATTTTTAATACTGGATATTCATATTCTTTTTTAATACCATTCATTCTTTTAATTATTTTCCAAATTTTTTCAATTTTTGTTTCTTTTCCCACTGTGTTACAGAATTTTCTCCAATATTCTCTCTTTGTGTTCTTAATTATTCTCCTTACCATAGCTTGTTTTCTTTTATAATCAATTAGATTCTGATAAATTGGATTCCTTTTAAGTACTTTAAATGCTTTATTTCTTAACTTTATTATTTCACTACATTCACTTGTCCACCAGGGTACAATTCTCTTGTCCTTCTGTCTTCCTCCTTTCTTTATTGAATTTTCTGCAGCTTCTAGTATTACCTTATTTATATATGTATTTATATTATTTATATCCATTGTCATGTTGACTTTTTCTAGACTAATTTGACTCAAATAGCTAAATTTAACCCAGTCTGCTTTATTAAAATTCCATTTTTTGTTTATTTTTATATTATTGTTATTTATTGTTAGTCCTGCTCTTATTGTAATGGGATAATGATCGCTGCCTATAGTTGTGTTTTTATCAATGTCCCACTCACAGACACCAGCCAGTGAGTTTGATACAAATGTTAAATCTATGACTGACTCTGCTCCTGTTCTTACATTCAGTCTCGTTCCTCTTCCATCATTAATGCATACTAAATTTTTGTTTTCCATTATTTCTTCGATAATCTGTCCATTTTTATCGTTACATTTACCCCATACTGTGCTATTAGCATTAAAGTCCCCACACCATATTACTCTCCCTTCCAGATGTTCCATCACCTCTTCCATCAACTCCAGTGACAATGTTTTACATGGATTATAAAAATTTAATATTTTACAATTTCCTTCTTTTCCCCAAATTTCTATTACTATATATTCCAATTCTTTACCTTTCCCTATTATTTGATATTGCCTGCCTTGTTTTATAAATATTATACACCCTCCTCCACTTCCTTCTTGTCGATCCCTTCTTATATTATCATATCCTTTAATAATAAAATCTATTGTTGGTTTTAACCACGTCTCCTGTACACAAATAACGTCTGGTTTCTCTTGAAGTTCGTTAATATAACCTTTAAGTTCCTGTCCATTAGCAATTAAACTTCTAGCATTCCATTGTAATATATTCATATATTGTCACCTGGTGTTCCTGGTCTTCCATCAGCTTCCAACCTTTTGTTAATGTTTTCCCAAGATCCCTCTTTGAACCCCAAAAATTTTTCAGCTCCTCTCACAATTATTTTAATTTTCTCTGTTTTATGTTTGGCCTGGTCAGTGCAGTTTATGACATATGCTATGAATAATATTAGGTTTTCAACTGGCATTGTGATGTTTTCCTCTGTTTGCTGTTTACTGGTACTTTGTTGTGGGTTTTGGTTCTCTGTTTGTCCTGTCGCTCTTGTCTTTTGTTCTTTGACACTTTTGACTGCCTCTGCATATGTGGTGTTTTTACTTATTTTCACCTGTTGGATTTCTTTTGCCGTTTTCCTCACTTCACACCCCCCGTATGTAACTCTATGTTGTCCTCCACAGTTGCAACACTTCTCCTTTTCTTCTTTACATTCTTCTATCCTATGGTCTTCTCCACACTTTGGACACCTCTGTTTACCTTTGCACGCTGCTGCAATGTGTCCATATCTCTGGCACCTGTAGCAGCGGAGTGGTGGTGGGATGTAAGGCCTAACTTGAAAATTTAAATAACCTATTTTTATGTTTGCTGGTAATGTTGTCTCATCAAACTCAATCATAATTGATAAACTTCCTACTCTTTCCCCATTAACAGTTCTTGATAGTCTCTTCAAGTTGTTTACTTGTGCACCAACAATGTTCCTTTTTATTTTATCTAAATCTTCATCCACTGGGATCCCGTAAATAACTCCGCGAACTGTTTTGTTTTCTCCTATTATCTTTTTTTCCATGACCATTCTTTTACAGATGTTCTCGACGTGCAAAGCCTTATTTTTTTGTTCTTCAGTTTTACATGATATTAATAAATTTCCATCTCTTAACACCTTCACCATTTCTACATCCCCAATCTTCCTTTTTATTTCTTTTGATATCAAAATGGGGCTTATGTTACCCTGCCCTTCCTCATTTTTTAGTTTTAATATTATTTTAAATTCATCCCTCACTACTTTTCTTCTTACTACCCTTTCTTCATCAGAGCTGCTCCCTTCCAACTCCCTTTTATTACTCTGGCTGTCATTTGTCCCTTCCTCCATTTTATTTCTTCCGCGTCCTCTCCCTCTACCTACCGGTGTCCACCCCTCAAAATCCATGTCTGCCTCGTCTCCTACCTGTTTTTCCATCCGAACCATTCACATACCAGTTTATGCCAATTTCCGCCTGTTCCAAAGTCCAAAAAATGTCAAATACCGATAATCCGTCAAAAATTGTTTTGAATTCCGCGCCCACAGCTTCCGCGATTCCACCCGAAGCCCTTTCCTTCCAGTCTTTACATTTGACAAAGCGATACTCTGTTTAGCCACTTTAGCCATTCTTCTAAAGAAGAGTCTTTACAAATTAGCCCGGTTCGGTTCGACACACCCACGTGATAGTGGTCGTAAGCTAAACTACAGTAAAGATTTCTGACACCGACTAGCATGCCTATAAAAACGATTACCAAACAACTTGTTCCTGAAACGCCCATAGAACGCAAGCGACCAATCAGAAAGAGCATGAGCTGCAAAGTTAACCAATCAGAGGGCGTAAAGAAAAAGTAAGGGCGGGGCTTAGTCTGGGCAGCTGTGCTTGCTTAATAAAAATCTTATTTCCTGCTAAAAACTGCTGTTTTCTTCATACGATTTAAAACAAAATTTTAAATTAGCTCTTTAAAGTTTACAAACTCGTGCACAAATATTCTAAAGTACTTTATATTTTTCATTATTCATTTTGCATAAGGTGTGTGTTCAAGGGTGGTGGTTTTCATTGGTAAATGGACTGTACTCATATAGCGCATTTCTATCTTATTTCAAGACACTCAAAGCACTTTACACTACAATCTGTGTCCTCATTTACCCATTCATACAGCACTCTACTAGATCTCTACAAAGCTAATTGAACAAATCATTCTAAAGAGACTAATAAGTGCTTTAGATCACATTCACACACTGATAGGACACACATCAGAGGCTATGAGGGGTTCAGTGTCTTGCCCAGGGACACTTCAGCATGTGACTGCTGATGGATTCGAACCCCCAACTCTTTCATTGGAGGACGACTGCTCTAACCAGTCAGCCACTGCCGCCGCATTGGGTTTCAAGTCAACTAGCTGAATACTTAAAAAGTTAGCCTCAGCTCTCTGTTCTGCTTCACTACTATATAGCACGTCTACTGAGTTTGGATATTCAATTAAAAAGCTGTATTTGTGTCAAAACATTCTCAGTACAGAAATAATGTAAATAATACTTTTAATAAATATAGCAAGAGAAGTTACAAACAAATGATTAGAAATACCCATTTGAAATAATATTGTAATTGACACAGTTGGAATACACACTATTTTATTTCTCCTAAGAAATTTCCCAGCACATTTGAATGTTCCAATTTCAGATCATGGAGAATTTAGGAGAAAATATCTTAAATGGGGACAACACAGTGGCTCAGTTGATAGAGCTGTTGCGTCTCAGTGAGAAGGAGAAGGTAGCAGGATCAAATCCCAGTCCGGGGGCCTTTCTGGGTGGAGCTTGCACATTCTCTCTGTGCATGTGTGGGTTTTCTCCGGGTGCTCCAGTTTCCTCCCACAGACCAAAAACATGCATGTTAGGCTGATTGGTAACTCTAAATTGTCCCTAGGTGTGAGTGAGAGAGATAATGATTGTTTTTGTCGTGGCGCATGTGATGGACTTGCAACCTGCATCATGTACCCCGTCTCTCGCACAGTGACTGCTGGAGGTGGGAATCATTGACCACCGTGACCCGAAAAGGACAAAGCAGTTTGAGATAATGGATGGATGGATATATTAAACGTCACTCAGTCATGAAGGCAAAACATCAGTGTTTCCAAAAGTTTGGGTTAGAATGCTGAAATACCAAGTGAGGGTCCTTTGATACTCCTTGAATCGCCACCTTATCGTAGGAGTTGGTGCACCTGAATGATCCTATGAGTGCTGCTGGGTGCAATTATAATTGTCCCTGGGTCTCCCAAGGCAGATTGGTCCTAGGTGACAGGCCTGAATGATTCCAAAAACTCATATGGGCAAATAACAGCAAGGAACTCAGTGCATGTGACTACTTTATTCTTCTGGGGGACTTCAACATCCATGTCTGTAACGACAGTGAGACCTGCATGGTTATGATCAGGAGGAGCAGCCTCACTGACCTGAACTCAAGCGGTGTTCTGTTGTTGGACTTCTGGGGTCACGACTTGTCCATCACAAACACCATGTTCGAAGAGAGATTCAGATTCCAAAGTTTACAAGATGAAAGACCATGGCTTTCATTTAAGTTATTTGGCAGAAATGAAAGACTGGGGATGATTTTATTTTTTGTGATGCTTCTTCAATAAATGTTACATTTGTATTTTTTTTAAATGTTCATGGCACAAAATGTTTCCATATTATATTTTAAGTGAGATGATAAAAACATAATCACGTATCATTGCTGGTGATGTTAAAACACCATACCATCTGGGGTTTATCTTTAGTAAATGAAGGTGTGTAACCTGCGGGTTGGATTATAATATTACAGTTCATTTAAGCATAATGAGCCTGCTATGAGAGGTGGCTTTAAAACTACTTCAGTGTTTCTGCAGAGGCCACTCAAATCCATTGCGCTGCCATTTCAAATAATGGAAAATTTGTTGGCTCTGTCTGAAGACGTTTGCATCTAAACTACATGCAAAACTTCCTATTTGCACATCAGTACTAAGGCCAAATATTTTAATGTTGCCCGTTATTGTTTCTCAGAAGGTGAGCTTGGTGCACAGCAAGTGAGGCTTTTCAGCGCAAAGCAAAAGAAGCACATGAGCATCAGTCAAAAACTGGCTTTGGATTTAAGATGTCTTCGTGTCATGCCACTATTTAGCTATGAAACAATAAAAAACATTAGAACTGATTAAACATTGGTTTCAGTCAACACTGCACAAAATGTCATTAAACAAATAACCAGTTTCCTTTTGTAAAAATCCTCACATGTTCATTATAGTTTGTTTTTAATGTAAAGTCGAGCTGATTTCATGATCAGTCTTTGTGATCATATACAAATTTATAATTTTCAGTAGGGCCTATAGGTTTTTTTTTTTTTTTTTACCTTAGTGACTTTTATCAATCTTATGTCTCATATGACGTTTTGAGGCAACTATTTTGCTTGAAGTGCAATGGGTACAGTGGATGGACGGATGCATCCGCGGTGCTGATGCTGCAGGGAGGGGCGTGACGTCACGAGAGAGACCGGGAAAAGAGGCGAATGGGGAGAAGAGAGGGGGAAGGAGGAGAAGGGACGCAGAAGAAAGCGGGGGGGCATGACTGCATTAAAGAAAACCCCCAAAATAATAATTTTAATAATCATGACTCCTGTAATTCACACTATAGGCGGGTTTCGTCCTTTATAATGGCTCCTTTGTTTACCTGCGCTCCGCAATAAATGACGAGCCGGCTCAGGAAGGTAATTACCATCTTTTTATGTATTTATTTGCACGCCTTCTTCATCCTCTAACACTCGACTGCCTGATGTTCACCTTAAGGACCTAAATGTCAAGGAAAATGTCGAAGAGCAGTCGCCAAAAAAATGGCAGCAATGTGCGTTCAATGTGCATGTGCCAAAAAATCCAACCGATCATGACGCGTTGGCCTTTAAACATCTTCACAGCGGCTCCATTGTGTCTTCCTCTGCCTACATGAAAAATTAAAATGGAAACAGGCGTCACGAGAGCGCTGCGGTACAGTACACTCTGCTGTAGTCAGCCACGGAGAGCACATGGGCTCTGCGCACAACATGCGTACTGGTTGCAGTGCGTCGTGCCCATCAGCAGCGTCTGCTAATGGCTGCAGTGTCCTCTTAGTGTAGATCTATAGGCGTCAGCAGCTTAGTGTGAAGTTCATCCTAAATGACCCCTAATCTGATCATTCAAGCTATAAAACCATGAGTTTTAACTTGCTGTTGCATAACACCCATTTTTTATTATTATTTATTTATTTTTACGCTGCAGTGTATTCCAACTTGACAGAGATGTCATCTCCAGGCATGGGCACCCCCAGTGACCCCCTCTTGGCCAGTCCAGGAGGGAGGTTACCCACAGCTCAGGAAGGCATCTGGCGGAGCTCACTACCTAAAACTGCCAGCTTCCCAACATCCACCACCCGCCACCTCAGCCACAGAGCCAACAACTTCCAAAGACAGCCAAAGCGTAGGAAGTTAATACGACCTTCACCACCTCCCCCACCTAACACACCCTGCCCCCTGGACCAGCTGGACCTTAGTGAGCTCCCCCCAAGAAGGACTTTCCAAGAGCTGCTTTTCAACGGCTGCGTCCTGTTCGGCATTGAATTTAGCTACGCCATGGAAACGGCTTATGTGACTCCTGTGCTTTTACAGATGGGCCTACCTGATCAGTTCTACAGCTTGGTGTGGTTTATCAGTCCCATTCTTGGTGAGTGGTGCTCAGGGCTGTGTGAGAAGTATGATCAACTTTTGCCTGATTTGAACGCTGGTCTGTGTATCTGTATTTAAGGATTCCTCGTTCAGCCTCTCATCGGAGCGTGGAGTGATCGTTGTACATCCAGGTTTGGGCGGAGGAGACCCTTCATTTTTGCTTTGGCTGTAGGTAAGACATGTTTAGAAAGGATGACAGGTATTTTCCATGGCACCTGAATTCAGTTATGGAGAAAGAATCATGAAAAAAAAATGAAAACCATAGCAGCAGAAGAAAAAAGCACAACAAATTACCATCATTAGGCAAAACATTCCCAGAAAATACTAATGTATGACGTCTTAGATAAATGGTGTAGATAATGACTCAACCAGCTGTCAGAGCCTTCACAAAACTTATTCCCATTGATCCATGAATTGTCTTAACAGCTTTTCCTTTCCAGGTCACAGGGCAGCTGGTGTCTCTGCAGTCCCTGAGCGAGACGCGGGGGTACACCTTTTGACAGTTTGCAAGTCCATCACAGGGTTACTTAAAGACAAACAACCAGGAACACCCTCAGTCACACCCAGTGACAATTTAGAACAGTGGTCTGCAACCTTTATGATTAAAAGAGCCATTTCTTCCCCTTTGCACTCTAAATAAAATGTCTATGGAGCCGCAAAACCTGCTAAAACTGTGATTATCAACTGGTGGCCCATGGCCCGCTTCAAGCCTGTTGGAGGGAGCTTTACCGACCAGAAGGTGTGATATTATGAAAGTAAAATATACATTTATTATTAATAATTATTGATATTTTTACATTTTAGTGCAAAAGAAAGGACTAGATTTATGTAAAGAAGAAATATATATATATATTTTTTTTACCAATTTTAAAAAAAATTCTAACACAAGTATGCAGGCTTATGAGTTTTCTTTTTAATTGTGGAAACAATTCATAAAGTATCCTATTAAGAAGTAATGAAGCATAAAGTTAAAAATTAGGCCAGTTTGTTGGATACGTAATTGAGTTTAAAAATGAAAATAAATGCTTCCATTTACTTTGACTTTGTTTTCTCTTTAATTATTACTGTTATCAAGTTGACTAGTTCCTTAAAGGTATTCCCCCCAAAACATTCGGTGGATTTGAGAAACAGATCACATTGTAAGACTGGAGGTAAGCTAAAAGAAGTGGCTAACAAACTACTAGCATGATGTAGTCAACAAGTTTTACTCCTTGTGTTAATATCATTCACATGGTGGCAAAAGAAATAACCGGAAAACTGCTAAAACTAGCCATTTCTTGTTGTTTGAACAATAACCAATAAACTTAAGTTTTATGTTAGTTTTGGTCAAAACTTAGAGCCACTGCAGAGGGACCAAAGAGCCTCATGTGGCTCCAGAGCCTCAGGTTGCAGACCCCTGACTTAGAATTACCAGTTAACATAACATGCATGATTTTAGCTGTGGGAGGAAACAGTAATACCTGGAGAAAACTCATGCATTGCACACACAACTCATGCAAACCCCACACAAAAAAGGCCAGGAGGCAAACATGCAACTTTCTCACTGTGAGGCCACAACTCTAACAGCTGTACAGCTGTGCTACCATTCACAAAACATCAAAGCCACAAAAGACATTATGCAACATTGCATGTATCCTGCTGACCTTGATACCTCTACATGCATGATTTTCCTTTTCAGACATCTATGCTGTGCTTTCCTGTTTAGGGGCTTTGATCGGTCTAACCCTTGTGCTTAATGGACGGGACATTGGGGGTATCATGGCCGACACGGCATCAAACCACAAGTGGGGAATCATTCTGACAGTGTGCGGTGTGGTTCTGATGGACTTCAGCGCCGATTCAGCCGACAACCCGAGCCATGCCTACATGATGGACGTGTGCTGCCCAGAAGACCAGGACCGAGGACTGAACATCCATGCATTACTAGCAGGTAATGGAAAATACGTTAACTTGTTAAATACTCGCATAGATACAGTAGTTAGGGCTATAACTGTGATGTTGTTCAAGAAACAGAACAAATTATGAATTAAAATATTTTTTAATTGTAATTGGTGTTTTGGAGAATACTTACCAGCTGTGCACACTTTGTTTAAAAGGATTTCTAAAAGAAAAATATAGAAAATGAATGATCAGAATAAAGGAGCAAATTCGCCAACCTCAAAAACTACACAGAAACATAGCATGTTATTTCCAAAATGGACCTTCTCAGATGAACTGGAAAGTAAAGAGGTGAAAAAGTAAAGTGGTGTCAAAATCTCTGAAATATTGTTTGCTTGGTACACAAGAGTGTTTTAAGGTTTTAGTTATTAGACATGGCAACAACAACAAAAAAACTTACTATAAATTCCTTATTTTTCCACACAGGACTAGGAGGAGGCTTTGGCTACATTGTTGGTGGCATCAACTGGGACCAGACACAGTTTGGAAGATCAGTGGGAGGTCAGCTGCGTGTCATATACCTGTTCACGAGTATCACACTGGTGATCGCCGCAGCCATGACTATGATGAGTATTCCCGAGAGGCCGTTACCAAAAAGCCAAACTAACAAAAGCTCAGGTAAAAACAACCTGAAAAGCCCCAGCCTCCCCCTTCCTCCTTCCCCTCCTGTTCCCCCCGGAGCGGCTCTGGGACATGATGATGAGGAGGAAGGGCTTTACAGCTACAACTTTGCAAATTCTCACCAAAGTAATTCTGACCCGTTGGCCCACTCTTGCAGTGCCAATGCACGACTTTGTGCTGGCCTCACCAGCCCCATCTCACCACTGAGCCCCCTCACTCCAAAGTACGGCAGCTTCATTAGCAGGGACAGCTCGCTCACAGGCATCAATGAGTTTGCCTCCTCATTAGGAACTTCCTACATAGACAGCGTGCTTATAGACTGCTACACAGGTCAGCAGACTCCTCCGGCCCTGGCCCAAAGCTCCACCGCTTTACCCCTGCCTCCAGGGCACTTCCCTCCTCCTGATAAATCCTCACAGATGGAAGAGAACCCTCCTGCAGGACAAACCCAGGTTGATACTGGGTCCCATCCAGCTGCGGAGGGTCAGAATGCTGAAACAGTCCAGCCTGAGAAAGATGCACAAACTCACAAGGCTCAGGTTTCAGCTGGGTCTCAGCCTGCAGGGTTGCATCGGGGCTCCACTGCTGGCATCCTGAAGCGACCTCAGAGCCTTGCACTGATGGAGGAGCCCACAGCAACACATGTTGTTGGGCTAGAGAACGGACGCAGGAGAACGGTGACTTTCAGTCAACAGGTCGGGCGCAAATTTAAACAGCTGCGAAGGCTAATTAGGAAGTATCCACCACTTTTTTTAAATGTTGTTTTTTGTTGTTGTTGTTGTTGTTTTCCCTCTGGAGTAGGTTGCAAACATTTTGCTGAATGGAGTACGCTATGAGAGCGATCTAAGCGAGAACGTGGAGACGGGAGAAACCCAAATGTCCATGAAGCTGCTCTGTATAGCCATCTACAGGATGCCTCCCTCACTGAGGAGTTTATGCACTAATCATTTTCTAGGTTAGAATTGCTTCTGTAAAAAAAAAAAAAAAATACTGAAACACGTACAACACCTTTTTTCTGATTTGTATAGAATTTGTGCATTGTGAGTTCATCTGTTTTGGGTTTGTTTTTTTTAGGCTGGCTGTCATTTGAAGGCATGCTGCTCTTCTATACTGACTTCATGGGGGAGGTGGTGTTTGAAGGAGACCCCAAAGCGCCCCATGACTCTGAAGCTTACCAACGCTACAATGCCGGCGTCAGCATGGGCTGCTGGGGCATGTGCATCTATGCATTCAGTGCTGCTTTCTACTCAGGTAAAACGTCCCACTCACATCACGGACATGGAACTGGGTGATCATTAGTCTCACATTTTCATCTTCTGCAACCTACAGCCATACTGGAGAAACTAGAGGAGCGTTTCTCTCTTCGAACTCTCTATTTTTTTGCCTATTTGGCATTTGGTTTGGGCACAGGCCTGGCAACACTATCCACCAACCTCTACGTGGTGCTTTCGCTCTGTGTCACCTACGGGGTGCTCTTTTCCTCGTTATGTACGCTGCCTTACTCTCTGCTGTGTGAATACTACCAGAGCCCTCAGGTAAGTAACAGCTATTGTACAAAAACTTACTTTCTTTTAGTGTTGATTTAAAAAGTGAACATTGTGCTCATATATAAGTCCGCAATTAGGCACAACACTTAACAAAAGCAGAAAAAAAAAAGAAGCACAAAGCAGGAAATTTTGAACAGCTGTTTTCTGATTCAAGACATACAGCAATCCCTCGCTACTTCGTGGTTTGTTTTTTGCTGACTCGCTCTATCGCGGTTTTTCAAAGTAAGATTGGGCATGACACACAATGGCTGAATGCCGGATGAGCCACACGATTGGCATGGATTTTTTGATTTTAAATAAATTATTTTAAATGATTTAGCACCAGTGTGCAGCCCACAGTTGTGGGGAAGCTTCATCCTGCAGCTGATCAGCTGATCTCTGCTCTGCATGGAGATCAGCTGATCTCGTGCAGAGGGAGAAGTGGGCGGACGAGAGTGCAGCCGGAGGCAGAGAGCTCAAATCATGACAGTCTGTGCTCTTTTAGAGTGTTTAGAGTTTAGAAACATTGTTTAGACGCTAAACTCTAAATTTTAAAGTATTACAAGAGTGTGGAAATGATTTTAAATGCTTTGATATATATATATATACAGTATACACAGTAGTGTGTGGAAATTAAACAGAGGACGAAAGAAAAATGTCAAATGTTCAAAACCACTTTTAAGACATTAGAATAAAGTCTGGCCCATTGGAAACAAAAAAGAAAATATAAATAACTTGAGGATTTTGTATCATTGCTAAGGCTTTTTTTTAGACATGCCTATGGCAGTGAAAAAGAAACCACAGAATGTGACGTTTGACATTCGCATGACATTAAACACTATCAGTGATACCAATGCTCTTTTAAAGTCACAGGTATTTGTTGTTTGCTTTGTTTTGTTCACAGCAATGTGTTATATGACCATCAAATTTTGTAATGTTTCAGAAGGCATCCTGGTTGACAGTGTGTTGTTTCAGCTAAAAAACAAATCTAAATGTTTAAAACTTACTGAACCATCAATGCTATAAATACTTGGAATGCCTTCTTCCTTGCATGGTTGTATTCCTCTTACAGTGACCATTGTTGTCATTATTAAGTATCCATCTATTTAGTTTTAGTCCCAGCTTTATCTTCAGTGTCACAGAGCTGGAGCCTTTCTCCAGCAGCCAACAGATGAAATGCAGTGTACATCAGTCCATCGCAGTTAAAATCAACTTTTTATTGAAACTTCACTTGGATTCTCTTTTGTTTCTGTCCATTGTGTGTCTCAAGCTTAACACTTAGATGCTGCCCCTGATAAGCAGGGAAAGCCATGGTGTACATACAGTATATGTCCAGCTGCTAATGCTGTTGCATATATGTTAGACTTGTATCATTTGAAAGTCATGTACAGATGTTTATTTGTCAGACCTGGAAAGATTATTGTCTTGAACAGGAAGTCAGGAGCATGCTCAGTTGCACATGAAGCTGGTCTGAAAGACGCCTGTGATAATTAGGAAGCAGAGCCAGCAGCTGGTTGTCTGCCTATTAGCATCTCAAAAGCTTTATGATTATAGAGCTTTATGCTGTCGGTGAATAAAAATGTAACTTTATACTAAAATATAATAAGAGCTCAAGATCATTTTCCAGGATGTGAACCTCTTCATCCAGCTGTGGTCTTTGATGTAATATCTCAAACTTTTTTCTTTTCTTTTTTCCCAGTTTTGTGGCTCGTCAGAGGAGGGAACCAGACGAGGGATGGGGGTGGACATCTCTCTGCTCAGCTGTCAGTACTTCCTGGCCCAGATCCTGGTTTCTGTGGCGATGGGACCTCTGACCACACTGGTGGGCGGGGCTCAGGGAGTGATGTATTTTGCAAGCCTGATGTCATTCGTGGGTTGCCTGTACTCATCTCTCTGCGTGGTGTACCATCTGCCCCCCCCTGAGGGTGAGCCCCCCGAAAGCGAGACCCAGCCACTATTGGCGCACATTTAACTAAACCCCTCTTCATTCTGTTTTACCTCACCAACACACCGAGCAGCACGCACTCCCTTACTGTCTTTTGGTGTCTGAGTGTCTGATAGTGACAGACTCACTGCGCATCCCGCCGCACACTGTAACAGCACAGTTTATCTGGTTTACACTTATCAGCACCGCTCTTGTCAGAGCCCAACAGACAGACAGACATTGGCCACCTCTCTCCCAAGTGTAAAACATGACCCATGTGTTCATACAGTGTGTGTGCCCACACATATTCCACCCCCCTCCCCCCAATTATTCCAAATGGCCATTTTGAGTCCTCTCAACATCTACTGAAATAGCAAGGTTTGGTATTTTATTTTGGTGTCACTGAAAACATTTGGGTTTGAAATCAAGGCAGTCGTTCAGCGGTTTGTTTGTTTTTTTGCTTTACTATCTGGACGGGTGAAAAACGCAGACAATAGCACTTTTTTGTTGCGAACCCACCAACGTAAAGGGATAGTTCAGATCTTTTGAATTAGAGCTCTGTGGACAGGTTGCAAACAATTATCTTACCTGTTATAGATAGCACTTTGAACTTCATCAAGTGGAAGTTTAGTTTTTACAGGACTGACGAATTGGCTCGCTGAGCAGGGTCAAGGTCAAAGAGGATCGCTGCCATCTCAAACTTTTGTAGTGATTTACGAAAACATTATTTAAAAAACTTTTACACCAATATCAGTTGTATATGGTTATTTCAACAGAAATACTGTATACAGTAGTCCCTCACTTATCGCGGGGGTTATGTTCCAGACAACACCGCGATAGGTGGAAATCTGCGAAGTAGGGATGCTATATTTATTTCAGTATTTATAATTTAAGGCTTTATAAACCCTTCCCACACTCTTGCAATGTTCTAAACTCTCTAAATGCTCTAAAAGTGCACAGCGAAGGAAAGCAGACAGACTGATGCTACAGTTACTGAGCCAATCCAGAGGTGAGCTCCCGGTGCTCCCGATGGCCAGTAGCGATGGGGAAAGACAAACCCCACCCCCTCCTTTCTTTTTCTGAGGCTGTCTGTCACAGCAGAGCAGAGACACACAACAGGTTGTGCACTTGCCTGTTGTGTGTCTCTGCTCTGCTGTGACAGTCAGCCTCAGAAAGAGAAAGGAGGGGGCCCCTAGGCGATCACTGAGCGGGCCAGGCCACCGGGAAATGTCCCGGTGCTCCCGATGGCCTGTCCGCCCCTCAGCGCAATGCTCTGATTGGTCGCCTGCCATCAATCAACCAATCGTGTGTCATGTACACTCTTAAGTTGAAAACCCGCACAAGATTAAGTTAGAAAAAGTCAAAGAATCGAGGGACTACTGTATTCCTATCAGAAGAGCCCCAGGTTGCAGCTAAAGTGCTACAGTTAGCTTCACTTGCAACAACATATTTCTACGTAAATAACTGTGTAATGCAAAGTTGACAATAATGTTCTTGTAAGGATTTTGAAATAGTGTTGGCATGAGCTGTTCAATCCACTTTGCTAGTGGCCACTCGCACACTAGTCAAGACTTTTTCCACAGAACCCTACATCAAAACATCTGAACTATCACTTTGACATGTAAGCAAAATACTGACGTGTAACTGACAGGTGAAATGTAAAATTGTCTCAATCCGTTCCCAAATTTAAATCCTTTTAAACTAAATTTTACCTGTTAAGAGGATTAGGAAAAACTGCAATAAATAGAAATATAAAGAGGTTGCAGTAAAAGTCTAAAAGCAAAAGTTTAGTAACGTCTTTAAAAACCAAACCAAATATTTGCATGTGTTCTTATACTTTTTCTTGTCTAAAAAGTTTGTTGTATAATATATTTTTAATTGTGATTGAGACGTCAAAACCTGAAAGCTTGGTTTCTTGTCGTATATTCAGATACATCTATAAATATTTAAAATATTGTGATAAAATTCAATATTTCTTGTCAATCACTTCAGCAAGTGAAACTCATATTTATTATGTCATTACTGATTTGAACTTTTTCCACAGTATTTTAAATTTTTTAGATGTACCTGTGCATATATCATTTCATTTCAAACCCAAATGGTTTCAGTTACAGAAAAAAATAAAATATCCCAACAACAACTAACAGAATGGCCTTGCTGTTCCATTACACTAGGGCTACATGTGTGAGTGAGTTCTATCAGTTTGAGCTGGTTTAGTGTCTGAATGTCGGGATAGTTGTGATGATCATTCTGTGCAAGCTAACCACAGCTTACATCTCTTTTTCTTCCTCTGATTAGTTTCCTAACATCTGAGCTGCAGTGATCTCTCATAGCAACAAGGACATGTTTTTATTTTTTGGTCATTTGGCTGTATGAATGTTTCTCTGAGTTAGCTGACATGTATCAAAGCAACGTCAAGGTTTTTTTTCTGACATGCTGCTAATGACTGTTCACACTTCAAGTTCTTTCTGTGAATCCAAAAGCTCTTTCAGCGCTTGAATTTATACTAATACGGCTCATCTAAATCCACCAAAGACATTTTTAATGTTCTATAAAAGGGCTTTCACACTTGTCACATTTTTACAGCAAATATACCCACACTTTTCACAGACTAGTTGGTATACAACATTTTGTCAACATGCATTCAGATTTTACATTATTTTTTTAACAAACCACATGCCAGCTAAGATTCGACAGACATGCACCTGCACTGATTCTCTCCGGGCCCTCACTAAGCCACGGGCAGCTCTTTGAGCTGTCACCGTACTCCCCGCCATTCCAATGTAATGACAGTGATTCTTGTCATTGTCAGGAAGAGGAGAAGTTGAAACTGGGGTGTGAGTCAGCACTCAGTCGAGCAAAACAGAAGAACAGCAAACAGAGAGAAGACTCATGTGGACTGTGGGTAACTCTGAAGATGGACAACGTTTAAAAACGACTGTGGGGGGATTCAGAGGCAGCAGCAAGCGCTTCTAGTCATCGTTAGGGTGCATGCTTAACATAGTAGGCTTCTGCTCCACCACGCTCAGTCCATCAACTCAGTTAAAGGTCTCCACTGGAAGCTACTCATCCCTTTCTGATCCTGAAATCATCTTCATCTGCAAATTGTTTTTATTTCTCATTTGCTGTGCAATGGCAACTGTCCAGCCTTGACACAAGACTTTATGTAAAGCCTGTTAATGTGATGGTTTCATTGAGCACACCAACATACTGGTGCCTGAGCAGAATGACAATAGCCTACTATTAAAGCCTCCTGGACTGACCGGATGCACGCCAAGCTAATGTTTCTTGGGGAACAGCAACTGTATGGGCCGTGCTGTTACAGCTTGCTTGTGGAATAAAACAGCGTGTCATAAGGTAGTGCTCATCATTGTAAAAGCTGCTTTTATTCAGCGTTCAGTTGTAAGAAAATGACCGGTTTATCACTTTTGACTCCTGTTTTTCTTTCATTGATAGCTTGGGTTTCTTTGACCTGAAATTTTAAGCTACACCACTGGGAGGAGCCACAGTACAGAGACTAAACCATCGATTCAGCGCATCCTGTTCCATTAGAGAAATTAGACCATCTTCCTGTATAAGCCAGCCATTTTCCATGTGAAGGAAACTGGGTCAAGTGACGTCATCTGGTATGAAATTATGTTTTTGAAACAGCACAGATCAAACACCAAACAGAACCAAACAAGTAAAAAGACAAATTTATTTCTTAATCAGAATATACAAAGCAGTGGCTGAAGTAACCTAATGCCATTCTGGTTATGGAAAAGGCAGTCTACACAGAATTGGGCTACTCAACCGTTAACATAAAACTCGAGAAATGCGAGAAAAACAACATATAAATGGTACAAACTTGCGTGGAATGCATACAGAACAAATGACCAAAGCTTTAAGATTTAAGAGGGGTTAATTAACATTGCAAAAATCCTACCTCCACAGAGAAGGGTCAAACAATCCGTCTGTGGAGGTGCAACATACAGCTCCTTTATTTATTTGCACCATCTGTTACATTAACAGGGCAGCCAGGGATTTAAGTAGCAGCTTCACACACATAAAAAAAAATATCTCGCCTTAACTTATGCTTAACTGTCCATTACCCCCTGCTTAAAACTTGTCTTTGGTCCTTTAAGTGTATCCGAGAGGTCAACATGAGCCTTGAAGGTGAGCAGCTGCCTGGATGTATGAATCATCTGGTCAGCACTGACATAATAGAGGTTGTGCTTCGAACATACTGATGTGAAACTTCAGGAAATGAAAAATAATGATCTTATGCTGTGGCCCAACTCCTACGAGTAGAAAATAAAATGCTCATTAAGGACCAATAAATAACATTTCATAAAAAAAGGGGTATGCAGGGCCACCACGTTTCAAGACTCCAGTGCAATGAAATAACATGGGAGCAACCAAAAAGAAATCTCTTTCAAAAGAAACAGAAAGCACAAGCTCTAAAACACGATGTTGACCAGGCTGGTGGGACAGTGCCGCAAACATGTAGCAGGGGAAAGACCTAAGCCTCCACATCTGCCTCTTTCGAATCGCCATTTTCCTCTGTCTTCTGCTTTTTTGGCTCTGCTTTTTCCTGTTGAACCAAAAGATAAATAAAAAAAAGACACATAAGTAACCAGACATTGGCAGATTAGTCAACAAAGCCAAGTGATTAAAACGTGTACTTCAGCCTGATGACAACCCACCTCCTCCTCCTCCTCAGCTGCACGCTTCACAGGCTGTGCATCAGTCTCCTCAGCAGGGGGCGCCTCCTCGACATTTTCTGCTGCACAGAGGGAAAGAAAATTCAGCCACAACCGGCCTTTTTTTTTTTTTTTTTTTACTTTTTTGCACTTACACCAGGTCACAGAGTCAACAAGTAATTAACAGATACAGCCTCAAGGTTGCACGTGAAGAAAACAAAGTCCAGAGAAATATGCAGCGTACCACTTCCGTTCTTCTGCTCCTCCTCTGTAGTTTCTTCCTTTTTCTCATCGTGTTCAGCACCATTCTGGATGTACAGGGGAAAAATACTTTTAATAAGCAAGCCAAAATTGGATCTTAAATATATATTTAAGCAAAGGAGGAGGATGAAAACAGTGACGGGGGGGGGGGGGGGAACAACATTTAGACAAACATCTTCCTCTTGAGACCCAAGAAAGGCACGTGTGCGCCCTCTTATTACCTCCCCAGAGGATTAACTGCCAAGCTGTGAGAAACTAGACTAGAGAAACCAATGGAGACGTGTAAAGGGTTGCTAGCAAACATCTGTGCCGTTTCACAACCCAAACAAAGCCGTGTGTGGAGGTGGGGGGGAAGAGTTGAACGGGAGGTGGAGAGACGGGTGCAGCGACACCTGCACGATGAGGGGCGCCAAGACAAAAGACCATGAGGCCGGTTTGTGTTTCAGACTCACTGTGCCATTGGCAGGTGCTTCCCCGCTGTCCGTCTTCTTCACCTCCTCCTCCGCTTCCACTTCTTTCTTCTCTTTCAGCTCCTACAAAATAAAAGCACAAGTCCACGTTTTTTTTTTTTTTGCAAAAGCGTTAACTCACGAATCACATTTATAGTTCGGTATGAAAATGGCATGGTAAAGTAAATAAAAAAGCGTGTGCGCGTTTTATTGGGAGGATTCTTCAAAGCAGAAGCGGGTTTTCATGGCACCGTGACGCCGCGCGCTGTGAAGGCGCTGCGGCTTCCCGCCCACAGCAGCCACGGCTCCACCAGCTGCACCGCTCCACCGCTTTGTCTGCTCGACAAGACGTTTCACACGGCTCACAACGCACACTCTTCAACGAAAACTTGCTTTCGACGCTGAAAATGACGAATAAATCGCCTCTGCTTTTCGTTATTGTCGGCAAAAAAGGGGTATTTTGAGACAACGGTCATTTAGATAATTCACGTTTCCTCATTAGACTCAACTCGAGCCAAGTAAACGTTGTAACGATTGATAAAACCGCCAAATTACTCACTGGTGTTTCGTCCAATTCAGCTAAACCGTTTAAGAAAAAAAAAGTTACCAAAATCTTTTTACACGACAGTTTCTTCAGCATCCCCCCCCCCCCCCTCCCTCTCCCCCCAGATTAAAATGAATGAAACGCACCTTGGCTGTAACCTCTGTGGTGGCGGTCGTGTCAACAACTGTGTCGGCCATGGCTATAGTTTTGTAAAATAATTTAGATAATTACAGTCCTGTTTAGAGAAAAAAAGATTTAATACTTTTTCTCTCTATGCCTCCGAGTAGCTAGTCCAAAGACGCTAAGAGAGAAATGATGTCTGCCCTTCTCCGCTTTTCTCTCGAGCTCGTTGAAAATCCACTCTCGTTGGATGCGAAGACCAGATTCCTCATGTGATTGGACAGTGCCGACCACCGGACTGTTCTATTGGACAGAGCTCCTGTCAATCTAAAATATTAGTCCCGCCTATTGACAATGTCATCACTGATTGGTCAGGTCTTTTTAAAGCGCTGCATTATGATACTTCAGTTCTTTTCTTAAACTACACATACATTTGTTTTGTTTAAACTACAAATATAGACAATAGATGCGAATAACTCTTTATTAAAGTTAAAGTAATCTATCAGTTGTACTGAAGACCGAAGATTTTCTTGACAGAATAGACTGTGTTGAACTATTACCACACATGGCCACAGGCAACATCTTTTGTCTTAGCGGTCGTTTCTGCAGAAATTAGGTATCAAATTACAGAAAGAAAAAAAAAACGGAATACAGTGACGGTGTGTGAAGCAGACAGACACTCCTCTTTTCAGTATTTAACCCTTTTAAGTGCATCTTCTTTTAAATTTAAACATGTCAGCTAAACACACTGTTAAGTTACACAACCAATTAGTGTCTCACAGCCTAAATTGTGAAAAATAAATTAACAACAGTTGTTCAATTCCTTTGTGTTACTTTAATAAACTGAAGGTATGCCTCAAATGATTGGCCATTTTTAAATTACTGCATGTCTCTTACTAAAACAGCATAAGTGAAAAAGAAATGTTTTAGTCTAAAACAAGAAAATGGAGGGATTCTTATTTGTGTGTTCAAATTACAAATGCAATTAAAATGATTTGTGAGGCTATCAAAAGCAGAAGCCTTTTGGGTGTAGCATTATCTTTACAAAATAAAATAGTCTGACACACCCATTGTTACACCTTTTGCTTTTTTTATGTCAGGAGGAAGTACAAAGGGTAAAGCCATAGTTTAGAGCTGTAGAAGTGAAGGCCTGTTAATGAACAATTAATAACTGTTGTTGTGGTTGACTGACAAGCTAAAGGCTAGTCCGAGCCAGAGTCCAAGTTAATGTCCAGTGATGTCATCTTAAAATGACTCATCTTCAAAAATTTCAAAGCAGATAATGGTAAATGGACTGTTCTTATATAGCTCCTTTCTATCTAATCAAGATACTCAAAGCGCTTTACAATACTATCTGTGTCCTCATTTACCCATTCATACAGCACTCTACTAGATCTATGCAAAGCTAATCTGAACCTGTACAAAGAATACTCCGTTCTTTATCACATTCATACACCGATGGGAGACACATCAGAGGCAATGAGGGGTTCGCTGTCTTGCCCAGGGACACTTCAGCATGTGACTGCTGGTGGAACTGAACCCCCAACTCTCCCATTGGAGGACAACTGCTCTAACCACTCAGACACAGCTGCCCTCTATCAATCCATCCATGCATCCAATCATCCATCCATCCATCCATCCATCCATCCATCCATCCATCCATCCATCCATCCATCCATCCATCCATTATCTTTACCTGCTTCTTCCTTTATGGGTCACGGGGGTCAGTGGTTCCCATATCCAGCTATCACTGTGTGAAAGGTGGGGGACACCCTGTCTCCAGTCCATCACAGGGACACATAGAGACAAATGAGCCAAACAACCATTCACTCTCTCACTCTCTCTAGGGACAATTTAGAGTTACCAATCAATCCAACATGCATGTTTTTTTTGTCTGTGGGAGGAAACTGAAGTTCCCAGAGAAAACCCACGCATGCACGGAGAGAACATGCAAACTCCACCCAGAAAGACCGCCAGCAGGGATTCGAGCCGGCAAACTTCTCGTAGAGAGGTGGCAGCTCTACCATCTGCGCCACCGTGCCACCCATAATGCAACCACAATTCCATAAATCTTAAAACATGTAATGCATGTTGATTAACATAGAAGTCTACAGTACTTGCGAACAGAAACAGCACGTTTCAGTGCACATATTGTTGGCCTCAAGTAAAAAAAGTTTGTTTGTTGCTGTTTAATATAGCGAGTGTGCGGTCACACACTATTATTAGCAGTTGATCAAATGATCGGCAGCGCGGCTAACTTTTTCACCTGTCGGCCTGTCCGGCTCTGTTACTGCCTCACTCGGCGGCACAGAGGCACACCAGAGGTAGGTCGTCTTCAAGATCCCCTGCCTCATAGGTCCATTCAGAAGACACACTGAGGCGACCAGAACACATCTCAGTCATGGACTATCGAGTCTTGTGAAAGCGATTTTTGAATTCAAAATCAGAAAATTCAACTACAGCACCGCTCTAATCACTTTTAGTAATTGTGTTGGTACAGTGTTTGAACGAGTGGGAGGAAATCAATTGTTATTGAGTTGTATTGCTAATACAGTAGTCCCTCGTTTATCGTGGGGAATCCGTACCCTGAAGCCCCGCGATAAGTGAAAAACCATGAAGTAATATATATATATATATTTGTGTGTGTGTGTGTGTGTGTGTGTATGTATGTAAAGGCGTTTTAAACCCTTTCTACACTCTTGTAATATTCTAAACATTGTTTCTAAACTCTAAACGCTCTAAAAGAGCACAGCACATCATGATCTCAGCTCTCTGCCACCTGCTGCTCTTGGCCACACCCACTTCTCCGCTGCAGAAGGAAGCTTCTCCTGCAACTGGTGTTAAATAATTTAAAATAATTAATGTTAAATAAAAAGTCCATGCCTACCGTGCAGCTCATCCCACAATCAGCCAGTTGTGTGTCATGTCCAATCTTACTTTGAAAAACCACGATAGAGCGAGTCTGCGAAAATCGAACTGTGAAGTAGCGAGGGACTACTGTAGTAGTTAGCCTGGTCACTGAGGACATAAGTTAGCAAATCCTGCTGATTTCCAACTGGAACACAGTGAAGTAGTTTCCAGATCCAAATGTTGACTTCTGACATAAGTGGAAGTTATTTCTAACAGGAACAATAATGTAACCTGAAATTGGTGGAAGTTTAAACATCTTCATGAATCATGTCATTGTTTATTCCAGGTTGGTGTTGTTTTAAACAATCAGTATTGTTCTTAGACTCACTCAGACTAGCCGTTAGCTCATCAGGCTGATCGGAACAAAACAGAGATTTTCAAAACTGAGGTAGACATAGAGCCATCTAAAACAAGTAAGATACTGATTGGTCTTAATCTATCAACACAACTCATTTTCAATATATCTGACCTTTCCCTTTAAAGCTTACAAAATATATAAAATAAAACTATCAGATGTAAAGTTCATGTTTGGTATAATACACATTTTGATGCAACTTACCCCAGTAATTGCTATACATTGCAAAGACAGAATAATTGGAAGATTTGTATTGAGCTATTTGATAACCAACTAAATTGTTGGGCACTTTGGAAACTGCTAAATAACTTATTAAATCACATTTTTAATTTTACACATCTTCAGCCTTTGAGAACACAGTTTTAACAGCCAATAAATAAACAATTATTTTTGTTTTAATAAGTTCTCTCCTAACCAAAGTCGTTCACCCAGGTGTTAAATTAGATCCTTTGGCAACGTCCCTGAACCGTGAGAGTAAGGCCTGTTCCTACACATTGCTTGACTGGCAGAAATAAACAGTCAAATATAAAATCTTCACATGTCGTGACATGATCCTCTGACCTCAAGTTCCTCTCCTCAGACTTCAACAAAATAATTTCACCCTAAACGTTTGCCGCTCCTTTTACAGTTGCACACAAGATCATCTTTCCTACATGTTTACCTGCAGTAGTCATTGCATCAGTGCACAATGACATCGTTTGCATCTGTGCATTAGTTATTTGTTTTTAAGAAGCTTTAAACTTGTTGCAGCACATTAACACACAGCATAACACCGTTTATTTTTAACCCTAGAATTTCAGCCGCTTAAAACGCTTAATCCCACATCGCTTACGTTTTGATCTATGTCTGACGCTCACTGACTTTGAGAAAGTCTCCGGGCCTTTCATTCAGCCAAAATGTAATTATGTGGAGTGTAATTATACAAAAACATCAAAGGGTTACTGCAGCATCTGGTTATTTAGACATTTATTTTTCTCTTCATTTTCATATTTACAGCACGGTGGCGCAACTGGTAGAACTGCTGCCTCTCAGCAAGAAGGTCCTTGGTTCAAACCCCGGTCCAGGGGCCTTTCTGGGTGGAGTTTGCATGTTCTCTCCGTGCATGCGTGGGTTTTCTCTGGGTGCTCCAGTTTCCTCCCACAGACCAAAAACATGTATGTTAGGCTGATTGGTAACTCTAAATTGTCCCTAGGTGTGAGTGAGAGAGTGAATGGTTGTTTGTCTCGTTTGTCTCTATGTGGCCCTGTGATGGACTTGCGACCTGTCCAGGGTGTACCCCGCCCCTCGCACAGTGATTGCTGGACATGGGCACCGGCGACTCCCGTGACCCAAAATGGAAGAAGCAGGTAAAGATAATGGATGGATGTTGTTTACTGACCAGGAAGCTGTGCAGGATTGTCACTTTATATGCCAAAATGTGTAAAATAAGAATGTGATTATAAATAATAATTTAAAGATCATTTTTAGACAGTGTAGTATAAAAAAGGGAAAATGTAGACTGTGTAAAGTCTCCTGAGCGCTGAAGCGGGCCTCTACTCTGCCTAATAGCCACAACGAGTGTAGAAACTACAGTAAATCCATGGGAGGAGACAGCTTAAAAGTAGTAGAATATTACTCAAGTTTTCTGTACATGGAAAAAGGGAGCAATCAAAGAGAGGACGATTGTTTCTGAGATCATTTCCTGTCTTTTTCCTCCCTCTTTGCCTACCTCAATATGTTTCCATGTGCTACTGATTTGAAAAAAAAAAATCTATGTTTGAGTATCCTGGGAAAAGCAAGTTTACAAAAAGTGAAGCTGCAGCACAAAAGTGACGGACAAAGTTATTTTTGCCAGTTGACCACATTTTTACATTCTCCGTTAGAGAAACCATTTTTATGGTACTCAAAACTGTGAGACCACAAAAAGTATAACCGGACAAAAAGAGAGAAACGCCTCTTTGTGCTTGTTCTGACTCACGTTTGAAAATAAATAATATGTTGGTGTAGTTCCTCACGGCC